TCAGAAATACACACAAATCTAAAAACCTCATCTCAAGTATTGCAACAGCGCAGAAACAGTCTGATAATGGGACAAGGCAGATCTTTCCACCATCGCTCTATATCACAAAGACAATGAAAGAATGTAAAAAGAGTTAAAAATAATTAAAGCACTTAAGGGATCAGGTAGGCATCACCCATCACATGTGAACCCCTTGCATCAGGTATAAATCCACATACTAACGTAATTCTTTATTACGGCTTGAGTCTAATGGCAGTTATCACCTCTACTGGAAACACTATTTTGTAACTATGTGAGTTTTGTGAAGTGCTTATTATTGAGGATAAAAAGGGTGTAAAGTTGTAGACACATACTTTCGTCTCTTTTTTACCCTAAGCTCGGCCAGCAGTGTAAGTGTGGACCTGCAGACCCTCTCATATAAAAGCCTGCAGATGTGCACTTCCTGCTGTAACAGCACTGAGGCTTTGCCAAACGTAACACACGCTACACTGAGTCATCCATATGAGTGTGGTGTGTTTAACTAATTTGTGTTTGGTTAACTGAGTACCCTGAGGACCATAACCAGGCTAATATAATAATAAAACAACTCTAAAAAATGAAAACCATACATCATTAGAGAGGGAGAGCAGGTGAGCAGAAAGGGCCCTGCAGTTTCATTCAGTATGATTGTATTTGTATATATTATATATATATGTTTTAAGGTCCAGTGTGTAACATTTAGGAGGTTCTATTGTCAGAAATAAATAATATTCATAGGTATATTTTCCATTGTGTATAATTACCTGAAAATAAAATTGAATATTAGAATGAGCCATTTTTATGTACAGAGGGAGCGGGTCCTCTTCTAAAAGTGTAAAAATATAAGAAAGAATAATAAAATAAAATATAACAAAGATATAATAGAGAATAAAAAAAGTATTATTAAAATATATACACTATATGCAGTATGCAATAGAGGAATATAGTGTGCAAAAAATGTTTAAACAGTGTATAACTAACTGTACATGTAATTATTACAAGGTAAAGTTTGCGCATAGTAGGTTTAAACAGTCTCACATCAGTGGAGGTGGGAGGTAATGGGTGCTATGGTTGAGGATCAGTCTGTGGCTGAAAGTGCTCCTGAGCTGCCTCAGCTCAGTGTGGAGAGGATGAGAGGGGTTATTATTGTTATTATTATTATTAATATTACAGTTTTCCTCAATTGTTTACACACAGTTACTGGTACTTGAGACACAATGACCACAACGTATGTAACTCATGCACCAACCCCCTGAACCAATTCTGCTAAACTACAAGCACAATTCCTGCTTTACACTACACTTTACACAAATTGCAGTTCTAAAACACACTTTTTTCAAAACACTACAAACAATTCTCTGCATTTGAAACAAAGTTCATGAAGAAAATATCTTGTTTTCACGAGGAACACACTGTCATTCAAAATTCTAAAGTTAATTGCCCTACTATGCACACTGACTCATCACATGGGCAAACACCTGTCACAAAGTGCAAAAAAAAGTATATATTTGTTACCGTGTATTTAAGGCCTAAGTCATTATGATGAATGGAGAAGAAGTGTTTTCCATTCATCATATTGTTTTACATTGAGCACATCAGTGTTCAACTGGTTCTTATAAATGTCTATTCATATGATGGTTTGTGTGTGTCCTTTGAAAACAAAATACTATTTTGAGAAGAAATAACATTGTTTTGAATGTGTGTTTTTTGATTTTAGTGTAGAGTTCTGAGAGTATGAGGCATGCTTTCAGAAAATGTGTGTAAACAATCGAGAAAAACTGTATTATTACTACAGTTACTATTATTACTATTGTCACTGCTCATTGTCCCCCATCGTTGCTGTTGTCGTCGTCATCATCTTCCTCATGTTCATCATCATCAGTCACTACTATTAGTGTAGTTGCTGCTACTGTTGTTGCTGTGCAACTGTCTGTCTGACTGTCTGTCTCTGTCTCTGTCTCTCTCACCCCAACTGGTCGAGAAGCCACCCACCTAGAGCCGGAGATCTTCCCTAGGTTTCTGCCTTTTAACAGGCAGTTTTTCCCTTGCCCTTGTCTCCAAGGTCTTGCTCATGGTGGTACTGTTGGGTCTCTGTAAATAATGTTATAAAGAGTTCGGTCTAGACCTGCTCTATTTGAAAAGTGTCCTGAGATAACTTCTGTTATGAATTGGCGCTATACAAATAAAATTGAATTGAATTGAATTGAATTGTCCATAATGGCTTTCAGCTTCCCTGTCCCTCTTCTCAGTCACAGCCTCCACCCTATCCAGCTCCATCCCCACCACCGAGCTAGCCTTCTTCCCCAACTTGCCCAGTCTGTTAGCGCCACAAGTGCCGATGCAACCTCCCCAGCACCACAGCAAGGAAAACTACATACTTGGAAGACTGACTTCAAACAACTCAAATAACTAATTAACACAGAGGCTACATGCTTTATGAGCTATACTGCAGTCACCCACCAGGGGGCGATCACTTTAGAGAGCTGTCATGTCGTCCATCTATATATGTGTCGATGGTGGTAACACAAAACTGTTGTACTGCATTATTTTCAAATGCTCTGTAACATTTTTCACAATGTTGTTTATGGACCTCAAAATTTATCATGGAGAAGAGAGTTTATTTCTGGTCAGGTTGTCAATTTGGGGTTTGGAAAGTTTACTCTTGATTGTCCAAGATTCAGTCTGAAGAGTTGGACACCATTTTATATCAGTGTGGCGGGCCAAACGAGAGGAAATTTTCCTTTTTATGCCTTTATATCTTTATCCAGACATCCCAACTGTCCCGGAAGCTCCGGGAGTCTCCCGCATATTGATAGCGGCTCCTTGACCCCCGCAAATGAGATCCAATCTCCCGGAATCTGGAGCAAGACCGCGCACTAGTGTGTGACTGCGTGCATGTGTGTGTGTGTGTGTGTGTGTGTGACTATAAATGCAGCGCGTGTGAGAATGCGGCAAAGTATTAATGCCCGTCTTGACCGGGTGGCGATGTTGCTGCTGCCTCTCAGGCGCATCCCCTCAAGTCTGCGCCCTTAAAATAGCATCTGAATAAGCGCCACTGACTTTAGACTAGGTTTTTCCTGGTCTGTGGCGGAATTATTTTCTGAAACAGCAAAATAGCACCAGGGAACATTTGCGCCGGAACACGCCTCCTCTTTTCGCTGAACCGCCCCCCGGAGCGCAAGTTCATTCCCTAATTTAAGGACGTGCGTCAGTGGAGGGAAAATTCCAATGTGCGTCGAGTGCAAAATAGGAATTATACAAGCGCCAGTGTACAAAGTCAATTGCGCTGAGTACAAGATAGAGCCCAAAGTGTCTTTATATCTTTCTTGGCTCTGATTGGCTGTTTTCGTTCAGACCCGGTGGATTCTTGCAAATGCCATTAGGAGCACTAGGAGGAGCCAGAGGAACCAGATTTTTGTTCATATTTGTTTTCAAATGGATGTTCAAATGGAGGATTTGGATGCTTTTCAGAATGTGTGGGATAATGAATGCATGATTTGGAAATCACTTTTGCAGGTGTGTCGCTTTCATTTATTTTAAGTTAGTTTAGTTTAGTTTAGTTGATTTTGTCTTTGTTACAAATTATAGTAAATGTGGATTTATTTCTATTTCTGAGTAAATGCTTAAAAACGTCTCTCTGTGTGTCTCTCTACCTGTCTGGTGAATGCTGGGCTGACCACTGCTCTTTTTTCCTCAACTCAGTTCTCAGACTCACATGTGAAGCAGAGCAGTGTGAAACTCACAACATTCAAAAAATAACTTCCTCTTCGACCTTTCTCAATAAAGCTACACTGAGCTTTCATTAGGACAAAGCTTAAGGATGGAGTTGTAATCAATTACCTAATGTAAAGTGTCACTTATGACAAAAGTATAAAAGTTCAAGCTAAATAACTGCATGAGTTTTAAGCTGACCATTTTCAGCTTTGAAAATAATATACAAAATTTCCACCAAATATAGCCTCATGTCTTTTCTTTGCCCTCTGTACCCGAGCTTCCCAAACTTTTCCACGCCAAGGTCCCTGAAATAGCATTTCCTTAGCTTATGGCTGGAACTGGAGGGTCGTCGGTTCAAGTCCAGCACAGACCACAGTATGGACTGGTAGCTGGAAAAGAGCCAGTTCCACCTCCTGGGCACTGGCTGAGGTGTTGAGGTGCCCTTGAGCAAATGAACTGCTCCCAGTGTCTACTGTTTACCATACTGTATGTATCATATGTATCCATTATGTGCAATAAACCATTCTAATTCCATACATTCATTGGTGTGGTCTTTGTTATTAAAAGTAAAATATGAGACAGAAAAATGCCTGGCCACCCCAACTGCCACCCCAGTTTGATGTGAAATTCTGTCAAATTTAGCACATTCATTTAGATTAACATATTACATAATAACATATAAAAAATTGAATTTTACACTTATAATGTGTCTGTTATGTTCGTTATGGCTAAATTTGAGACTTAGTGATAGGCTTAAGTTCAATGATCTGTGATATGATGTCAAAAACATAATCTAATCTAGCTCGGAAGATTATTTCTTCTACTTGTGTCATATTTAAACAAGCTAATATTGATTTAGCATCTCAAAATATTGAGCATCTCAAAATATTAACATAGCATCTCAAAATAATGATATCAACATTTTCCTTATTACAATGATTTAAAAGGCTTTTTTTCCATCACGTTGGGCTTCCATACCATGCCCCCTGTGGACACCCCATGAAAACTCCTCTAGATCCGCCCCTGCTTCTGTGATGAAAGAGCTGGCATCTTTGCTGCAATTACTATCAAATGACGATAGAGGTCAGTAGAAAACGTGCTCATTTTAAGTTTTAAGTCTGTTACTAAAAAAAGCATGCTTTTATTTTGAAGGCAGACCGTCTGTTTTGCTCTAACTTTGCGCAAAATGCTCTGAACTGACCGCCGGATTTCTCTGCTTCCATCTGACCGGGCTTTCATTCATAGCTGGGTCCGTGTGTGGGGAACAAGTACTGGACCCTGACACACACACACACACACACACACACACACACACACACAGAGAGAGAGAGAGAGAGAGAGAGAGAGAGAGAGAGAGAGAGAGAGAGAGAGAGAGGGCCAAATGACAGAGGTTGATCAGCGGCAGAAAGAGAGGGGAGCACAGACACAGGGGAGGGTTCTTTAAATTTCTCTTTTTTCTTCTTTCTCGGAGGATCACTGTCACTTGAGGACTTATTAAACATGCACCTACTGGGAATATCTCTCCTACTGGCTTATCTCCTCTACAGCAACCTGGCCAGCGACTTCAGCCACAGCGACTACTATGATTACTACGAGCTGCAGGAGCAGATGGACGAGCCGGTGAGTCTGGGACAATGTGAGCACAACTTGTTTGAGGTGAACCTGGCCGCGTCTGTGCGTCCGAGCGCACGCAGCGGTGCGGATCCAGGGGACCAGCAGGGTCCAGTATGCGGCTTCAGAGGGGTTCGGAACCACACAGTCAGAATTGAAGTCTCTTAATTCAAGTGTCAGGTTCTTAGTGGAGTATAGGGGATGAAATATGAAGACTAAATATATATACACACACACACACACACACACACACACACACACACACACACTTATTTCGCTTTTATTTTAGGCTTGTGGGTATGCAGCCTACACTGTTAAAGCAAAAGCAAAAACATAATTTCAAGTTTCTGTCTTCATTAAATGTTTTAGTTTTAAGTCAAACTCAAACTCCCAGTTTTCAAATAAATTAATAATAATAGAATAATAGAAAAAATAATAATAATTATAATTTCATTTAATTTTAAAGCACCATAATGAATAAAGAAAAATATTTCTAACATTCAAAAGATTTTATTCTCAATTACCTCAACAACATTTTTTTGGTCTATTTTAAAACTTTAAAGTTTGAGTTTGACTCAAAACTCAAAACAATGAGGTAAGACTGCTGTCTTGAAATAATTAGAATTTTTGCACAACTTGGAATCAATGGACTGCCAGGGATCTTGAGACGATCCCACTGTTGTCCATCACAGCAAATCTAAGTCAATAAAACTCAAGATGTTGGTAAAGGAGGGACTGTGGATCCTTCCATCCCCCCTACTGATAATCCATTAGAGTCATCTTTTAAAGAAAAAACATTCTCTGATTTCACCTTCTCAAATGGGAATATTCTATGGTTCCATTACACCTCTATGACAGTAAGCGGAATATCTTTTGGTTCACCTTGTTATTTTTGCGATTCTGCAGCTAAAAATCGAAAGATAGTTCAATATCTCAATTAAAGATAAACACAGGGAGGTGAATCTAAGGACAGACAGTGTGTAGTGGAGAGTAAAACCACTTGAACTCAGCAGAGCCCCCTGCTGAGGTTGGCATTAATCCCAAGTACACTGTAGTAAAATAAAATCATTCCAGTTGGGTCAGGGCATAGAACATACATTATTGCTGCAATAATTTAACGTTAAAAACTTGGCATTACAGCTATCACTGGACAACAACCATTGTATATCCAGGTAAGTCAATTAAAAAAAAAATGTTGAAACTGATTACATTGAAATTTAGGTAAGTAAGTTAGTTAAGTAACACTAACTCAATTTTGCAAGTTAAATTCTTGATCAAGTAGCTTCAGTAGTTTAAAGTGAGTTAATTTTGTATTTTTTACTTGTAATCTACTTGAAATTACTAATGGAAGCTGCTAAATCAATAATCTATTTGAACTTAAAATGTTTTCAGTGTAAACCATTTCAACAATTTTTCAATTCATGAATTCAAAGCCCAAGGAGACGTCAAATGTCTCTTTTCATCGGTGCCTGGTTAGCTCAGTCGGTAGAGCTGGTGATCCATATACACAGTGGCCCGGGTTTGAGCCCAACCTGTGGCCCTTTGCTTCATGTCATCCCCCCTTTCAGTCTCCATCTATCTCTGTCAAATAAAGGCATAGGAAACTACAATGATTGGTCAAACTTGCAGTGATTGGACAAAACTTAGATTTAGTGGTGCAACTCTGTTGCTTCACCCTATTCTAAGCGCGGAGGAGAAACTACATTGGCTGCAACTAGTGCTAATGCCCCTATCTAGAGCCAGTCTTTAGTTTGTCCCTTCTGGGCTACTGTAGAAACTTGGCGGTTCAAGCTAGGTAACAAAAACACAACAATTTCTATATTCAGGTGATTATACACTGATGAAAACATACTTATGAATATTATATTCCATTCCTGATTATAGATCCTCCTAAATGTTACACACTGGACCTTTAACAGCTGACAGCTTATCGATTAATTGTCAGATCGTTGCACCTCTATTTCCTTGACATAGATCCTGGGAAAATATACCAGTATGACCAGAACAAATAAAAAGAGGAACCACTTTCCTCTCACTCAGTTTGATCTAACTTTCCAAGTTTTATTCCCCTGGTGTGTGTGTGTGTGTGTGTGTGTGTGTGTGTGTGTGGCTTTGGACGAGCAAAAACTTAGGGCGTGTTAGTAATAGTCGGAGCTCCGAATGAGAAACCGCAGATCTCTTTGAGTGTATTTTCCTAACTGATTGTAATGTTCTGGTGCGCAGGATATGGTTAAAGGTTTAGCCTAAGCTCTCTCTGCTGAGCCTCAGGATCTGAGGGGTCACGGTGAGAGAGAGAGAGAGAGAGAGAGAGAGAGAGAGAGAGATGCACAAACACTGATCACATTATGAAACAGCCATTTATTGTTTCACCCACAGAAGGTAATGCTGATATCTACTGGCTTTTGTTAACCGGTTACTATCCATCTGTCAGGTTTTATAATAAGAGTTGGATCGATAGAGCATTGAAACATACTTTTCTTTAATGTCGTGCCAGCACAGCAGATTTGAACCGAACTGCCAGAAAAACTGGACAAGAGAGGAATGGAAACACTGAGAGAGAGAGAGAGAGAGAGAGAGAGAGAGAGAGAGAGAGAGAGAGAGAGAGAGAGGGGTGAATATTTTCCAGGGGGAGGATTAGGAAGGAGTGTTTTCAAATTAGCCAGAGAAAAGAGCCAATGAAGGCAGGTGTCACAGGGGTCACACAAGTGTGTGTGTGTGTGTGTGTGTGTGTGTGTGTGTGTGTGTGTGTGTGTGTGTGTGTGTAAGGGGGGGGGATAAGTGCTAAGCAGTACCATGCAGCCATTTGATCACAGTAGACTCTTAATTGGGATGATGAGTTTTTTCTCCCAGCTCCTGTCTTCCACCTTTAAAGCACTCACAGTTATTGTGAGGAATTTAAGCAGCAACTGATACCAGCTCTTCCCTGCTGAAACCTCAGATAGCGGTCAGGTGTCTGAGGATTAATAAAACACATGTACAGTTTTTACTTGAGCTTGTTGGAGATATTGCAGTATGGGTAGGAATGAGTGTTGTTTTTTTTTATTTAACAACCCGTTTAATCTGCTTTTCCACACTTGAATTGCTTGTTTCATGCTCAGAATAAGTGGTTTGGTCTGTTTTGTTTAACTCAGTTCAAGATCTCAGTTTCAAGACAAAGCCATCTCTAACACAGTAACACAGTAATTGATGAGTAGAGCCTGACTGATATGGGACTGTTGAGACCGATACTGATTTTAGAGGGCAAAACTTCATCCATTATTGATATGGTGGCAGATACAGTGAAACTTTGATCTGAAATATTCTATGTGGATTGTGTGATTTAAACATTTTAAAAGGTCCTAAAAATATCAGGAAAACTCAATCTGATCAATATTCACAAGAAATAATCTGCCCCAAATCCATCCAAATCACTCATTTAACACAAACGTCCTGCAGTTATTGTGTTTACTGAACAAGTTTCTTATTGCTGATGATAAAGTGTCTGTTGCCCAGGCCTATATTAAAATATTGGTTGACTGGACTTAACTGATGGAGTGCACCAATCTGGTGCAATGATTAGCACTGTTGTCTCACAACAAGTCATTATCATCGGTCACACTCATGCAGAAATCCCATATCCTAATCAACTATAGGGCTGCATATCTTTCGCTATAAAACCCTTGTGTGAGCTGGGATCAGCACCAGTGCCCATCAGAATGTTTTACTTGCAGTATGATGGATACAGATTTTCAGCCTGTTAGTGTTTCGTTCTGAGGTTTGGTTGGTCAGCCCATTCATCCATCCAATATGCTGGTCTAAAGGAAAGTGCCTCCTCAGCTACTGATCAGATAGATGTGAAATTTGATATGGACATTCATGGTTGACTGAGGATGATTCCTAACAACTATGAAGGAGGCTGCTTGCAGGGCTTTACAGAGTCTTGTCAAATGTATTTTTATTGCCAAATGAATCAGTGCTACACTGGGTTTCTGTGTGCAGTCCATTATCATGAATACATCAGATTAACTTGATTCCAAAAATGTCACAATGAGTTCTGGCCTGGAATGCTCAAGTTCTGACAAGGAACAACAGTGCTGTATATATCACATCAACATGCTCAGTGAATCATCTACAAAGCTGTACATAGTTCAGTTTAGACCCCCCCTTTGAGTCATTTGACATACAACATTTGGCCTCTTATGGAGGAAAAATCCCCAGTCATCCTCTCCAGTGAACCCTGTTCAGTACCATTTGTCTTTGTGAGTTTCCTAGTGGTTCCTCTTTGTTTTTTACCTCCCTCCATGTTTTCATTGGCTTTCCACATGTACTTTTCCTTTTGACCTGCAGGATCTGCTCCAGATTTTTTTTTTGCTTCATTGCTTTGGGTTTTTCTGAGGGCAAGACCTACCAACCCACCGGTCCTGCACTGAATATTATTTCAAACTAACAGTGTTAGTGAGTAATAACACGATTTCATTTATTAGTACTTTAGTAGTACTTCTTTTAAACATGTGCATGCGTGAAAGCTGCTTGCTGTCTGTTACGTTACTCCAGCCAAGTAATTTCCCCCTGGGATTATTAAAGTACTTCTGATTCTGATTCTGATTCTGATTCATGGAGTTCTAGATGGAAGGAATGTGGGGTACCACATGGCAATACAGTGAATGCCAAGAAGTTTAGACAAACACAACAGAATACTTTAATGTTAAGTCATACTTGTTGTTATTGGACACAGTTATCAGTGCTATCTTTTCTAGATTGTGATAATGAGCTTTCAACTTCAAGTCTCAATTCTGTTCAATTCAGAACAGAATCTTTCTCATATCAACACTGTCTCCTAAAGACCTTAACATGCCTTTTGCACTTATCCATGCACCATCTCTGCAACCAGTGAAGTGTTCACACTGATGCACCTTCATCCTTGGAGGATTTGCCATTGCACTTCGACCCTGTAGTTGGCGATGTGAACAAAACTATAGCTACACATACAATACTGGAATTTATATACAGGACTTGTGTTGATACTCATC